GCCTACTCCTACAATGGCCCCAGGGATACCTTCCTCCCCAAGGATGGCTCTTGTTCCTAGCTTGCCCAGGAGACTTGCTTTGTGCGACTATCTAGGTATCATGGATGTCTGCAAGAACTAACCAGATTGAATCAGTACAAAGAACTGGGAGTAGATGGGACACTGGGTAGTAAGAGGAAAGATATAACCCCAGACCTGCAGCAGCTTGCACAATACTGTGAAATGCCATTGCCTTCCTTCTGTGTAGGTTTATTTATATGTGAAGCCAACTACATATATATACAAATACACATACTCACGGGCAGAATATCAATTTAGTTCCTTTTTTTGTTGTTGCTTTTTTATATCTTTTTTAAAATGATCATAATACCATTTTGAAAACTTAATATGCCTAACTTTTATTCTAGCAGCATTCTGCTCAGGGTTGAATAGCAACTTCAAACCCAGACAGTAAGTTTCTGCTAGGGGAATTAGGGTTTATGTTCAGTATAAAAAATAATCCCAAGATAAATATCTTTTTTTTTTTTAAAGTCCAGGATGGTGGTGCATCCTCTTTCCAATACAGAAACAGAGGAGCTGGTTCTATTTAGTTTGCCTGATTGCTTTGAAGGGGAGGGGGGTAAGGTTGGCTCTGAAAAAACTATGGTCCTCTATTCATTAAAGTGTCAATAATACTCAGACCAGGCATATCGACAGCGGATTAGCTGGGGCTGAGTCTGTGTACAAGACCAATGCCTTTTTTAACCCAGCTTGTTTCCAGATCAATACATCCATCAGCATTCGAAAATTAGCCCAAGATGAGATTCCAATACTTGAGGTGGTGTGTCATGCTAAGAGGGCACCTAGCCAAGTTACAGATGTAAACACCTAGCTGGGGATTAGACTTTTTCCATTAGCTTGGACAAGAGTAAAGATTGATGTAGACTCCATCCTCCTACCCCTCCCATCCCCCATTCCCACAAATACCCAACTCTCTCTCTTGGAACCCATAAAAGATCGCTGGGCTATAATTCCACTCATTTGCTTCAACTAGCATTTATTAAATGTTCACTTTGTATAAGGCACTCTGCCAGGTGTTAGGATGGGGTAGGGAGGGCGGCGGACCAAATAAGAAAAATGACAAAAACTTGGTCTTAGCCGGGCTTGGTGGCTCAGCCTATAATCCCGCTCCTTTGGAAGGCTGAGGTGAGTGGATTGCCTGAGCCCGCAGGTTCGAGACCCACCTGGGCAGGCGAGACCTCATCTCTACAATAAATCAAAAAATTAGCCGGGCGTGGTAGCGCGTGACTGTAATTCCGGCTACTTGGAAGGCTGAGGCAGAAGGATCGCCGGAGCCCAGCAGGTCGAGGCTGTGGTGGCCAGGAGCAGCCACTGCACTCCAGTCTGGGTGACAGAGTGAGACTCCAACTCAAAAAAAAAAAAAAACTTGGTCTTTTATTTCGAGGAGGCTTTAGCATTTTCCACATTCCTTTTGTTCTCCAGTTCCACACAGGCTCTTCGTTTTAAGCAAATGTCTGTCATTGTTCCAAGTTCTTAGTCTCTCATTGTTATTGCTAGACATTCGTGTCCTAACAATAAGTGTGCAAGGGTGGGGGGCAGGGCAGAAGCGAGTGTAAGGAATGGTCTCCAAAGCACCACCTGGTATGGAGTGTAGATGGTGGCCCTAGGGCAATCGGCAGATCCCCCCACGAAATGGGGAGTTTTCAAGCATTTTTCAAGCATCTCCCTGAAATGGGGAGTTTTCAAGCATTTTTATCCACAATAAAAAACGTGGGTTTTTTTGTTTGTTTGTTTTTTTGAGTCGGAGTCTCACTCTGTCACCCAGACTGGAGTGCAGTGGCACGCTCCTGGCCACCGCAGCCTCGACCTACGGGGCTCTGGGGATCTTTCTGCCTCAGCCTGCCAAGTAGCCGGAACTACAGGTCTATGCTACCACGTCCGGCTAATTTTTTATTTGTTGTAGAGAGGAGGTCTTGCCAAGTTGCCAAGGCAGGTCTTGAATCCACGAGCTCAGGCAATCCACTTACCTCAACCTCCCAAAGTGCTGGGATTACAGGCTGAGCCACCGAGCCCGGACTAAAAAAACTTATTTTATGTTAAATTTTACACATACCAAAACTAAAATTTCACATAGCAACCTAGCCTGCTGTTTGCAATACACTCTAATAATTTCTGTGAGATTCTACTTCCTTTAAGAATACTGTTTGCACCAACCAGTTTGAAAAGTACTCATTCATAGAACCAGTAAAAGAAAACAGCATTGTAATTTTCTCCAGGAAAGAAAGAGTAAAAAGAAAATAATAATAACTTGCTATGACCAAACTTGGCCCAGTCATGAGAGTTCCAATGTCACAATGGCATCATCTCTGATCAGAGCCAGGTCAACATGGCTCTCCGTTTCTTGTTACTGCTCACCCCTTCTCCTCGATCACGGTGCGGATCCACGACCCAAATTTTATCTTCTTCCATCTTCTCAAAGTCAGCTTCCCCTTTCTTCTTCCAGCTCATTTGTGCTCTTTCTCAGACCACCTTCCTTCCCACTAGGTCTCTAACCAATTATCACACAGCTCTTTACCCTTTCTTGAACATGCTGACAAGGGTGTCAGTTGATGGAGCCTCTAGAAGGTGTATTTATTGCCCTGGACCTGCCTGCCATGTAGCTGAATAAAGGGAACCTGGAGTCAGACTTGGAAAGAAAGTCCAACAGAGGAGCTAGCAGTCCACTGCTAAGGGGCTCATGCTTCTGAGACAATAAAACAAGGCATTTAGTCCCCTATTAAGAGTTAAAAGGTTAAAAAAAAATAACAGAGGAAGGAAGGAAGAAAGGAAAGAAAGAAGGAAGGGAGGGAGGGAAAAATCCTATAGCTAATACCTCAATAGCAGTCACATATGCCAACCCTTCTTCTGATTGTTTTGCAGGTAAGAACCTGCAAAATTCAATCCTCACTTTGATCCCATTTTTCAGAAAGAGAACCCTGAGGTAGGGTAAAAACTTGCTTCAGGTCTTCAACCAGAAAGCAGCCAAGTCTGAAGCTAAGTTCTGACTCACTCACTAGTTATACGGCACCTGGTTAAGGGATGTCTGAATGCCCTGGGACCAGTTCTGCTTTGTGGGAAAGGGTGAGCACCATCCCCAGGGGCTGGGAAATACAGAAAGCAGCACAAAGAGAAATGCAGAAAACAAAACAAGCAACACAAGGTCTCACAAGATGGTGGCAGTGGTTGCAGAAGAAGGTGAGGAAAGTTGAGGTGCAACCAAAACAGGCAGAATCAGATGCCAGAATTAAAGGGAAGACGTGGCATCCAAGTCCCGGGCTGGAAGATGAGAGAAGGCATAAGCACGCTGCAAAACAAGGGAAGTTTGTGGAAAATGCAGGTTAGGGAATCTGGCACTATTCTCCTTCAAGGCTGGGCTAGGGCCTGGCATGTGTGTGATGCCAGAAGAGCACTCAAATGCTGGTCTTAAAAATAAAGCAATCATCAGAGAGACAACCCGCAGAATGGGGGAAAAATACTTGCTAACTGTACATCTATCTAACAAAGGCCTAATATCCAGGATCTACAAGGAACTCAAATGAGCCAAACGGGAAAAAAACAGCCCTATTAAAAAGTGGACAAAAACCTTCTCAAAATAAGACCTACAAACAGCCAAAGATACATAAAAAAATGCTCAGCCTCACTAATCATCAGAGATATGCAAATCAAAACCACATGGAGATACCACCTGACTTCAGTAAGGATGGCCATCATTAATAAATCGAAAAACAGCAGATGCTGACAACGATGTGGAGAAAAGGGGACGCTTCTACAATGTTGGTAGGAGTGCAAAATAGTTCAACCTCTATTGAAAAGGGTGGCAACTTTTAAAAGAACTAGAAATTGACCTTCCATACGACCCAGCAATTCTCCTTCTGGGAATATACTCAGAGGAACTCAAATCATTTTACAAAAAGGTTCTTGCACATGCATGTTTATTGCAGCACTATTCATAATAGCAAAAACACGGAACCACCCCTGCTGCCTATCAAATGTGGACTGGATTAAAAAAAAATGTGATATATACACAATGAAGTATTACACAGCCATAAAGAAGGAAAAAATTACGGACTTCACAGCAAATTGGATGGATTTAGAGTCCATACTCAGTGATCTATCACAGAAACTAAGAACTGAATACCACATGTTCTCACTTATAAGTGGGTCCTAAACATTTACCACAATACTACAAGAGAGATCCACAGTAGCAGGACACTGCCAGGGGAGGGAAGGGACATCACATCACTAAGGATACCTGATCGTTAACCAGAGGAAGTGAGGAGCAGTTAGAGGCCCAAATTTCACCTGCATGTAGGCTACTTATGAACCTAATCCTGACTTGTACCCCACATCTTTATAATAAAATGAATAAAAAAAAATAAAGCAATCTGGGGGTTGGCTGAAACCTAATAAATAAATAAAATTTAGAGGAGAAAAAAGCCAAAGAAAGCAATAGTTAAAAGAGAAATTTTCAACTGGGCACAGTAGCTCATGCCTATAATCCCAGCACTTTGGGAGGCCGAGATGAGAGGATTGCCTGAGCCCACGAGTTCAAGCCCAGCCTGGGCAACTTGGTGAGACCTCATCTCTACAACAAATCAAAAAATTAGCCAGGCGTGGTGGTGCATGCCTGTAATTCCAGCTACTTGGAAGGCTGAGGTAGAAGGATCGCCTGAGCCCGGGAGATTGGGACTATAGCCACTGGCCTCTAACCTGGGCTACAGAGTGAGACTCAAGAAAACAAAACAAAAAACAAACGAAAAAAAACAAGATAAATTTTCTGAGACAATGTAACATTGGAACAAAAGTGAACAGAAAAATCCTAGCCCTACTGACAACCAGAAAGGTATCCTGGCCAGAAGGAACAAATAGAACTCATTTCTGTCAAGCATCACAGAAAAAGTTCTAAACAAAGCCTTTCCCAGCCAGCCAGCCAGACCTCCCAGAGAGTCACATCCACCTACCTTGTACGATGAGGTGGACCCGAGAGGTCTTTGGGTGGTTGTCTGTCTGCACGGAACAGGTGTACGGTCCCTCGTCATACACATCCACGTTCTGGATCTCAATGCTGTACTGGGTTTGGGTGTTGCTCAGGAGGACCACACGAGGATCCAGGCACCACTTGTCATTCCCGGCATAGAGGATGGTGCTGCGGTTTAGCCAGGCCACCCGGGTGACCCGGTTGTCAATCGTGCACCTGAAGGGAAGACCAGACTGATCAGTCAAGGGACCTAGGAGAAAATAGGAGTCATTAGTGAGAGTCTTCATGGCAAGACCAGGATATATTGTTACCATGCCTTGTTTTTCCCCCTTGCTCCCAGTATACACACATACATTTCCTTTGTTTGATTGTCAGGGGTGAAACTTTCTGGAACACAGTAGAGGCCTTACAAGACTATAGCTCAGAATGTCGTTTAGTGCATCTGAAACCACCTGACCACAGAACCACTACAAATGAATGTTTCAGTTACAACCCAGAGGCATCTTGCATTCCCTGAATGGCTGGACTCTTTAAATAGTACCAGCCCTCCCTTTGCTCAAGGATTTCCATGATGTGGATGATAATAATCCCTCACATTTCTCCTTAGTGTTTTGCGTGCACTAAGTCTTTCAATACTTACAACAAACCTACGGAGAATCTCCTATTGGAAAAGGAATGGAGGAACAGAGAAACTAAATAATTCTCCAAGTCACACAGTAAATATGTGCTAGATCCAAGACCCAGCAATTAACTACAAAATATCATTCCTCTCATCTCAGAATAGCGAGTTCCAACAGAAGGCTTCTCAAGTCAAAACTAAATATGGACCTCCACTCTTCATTATACCCAGGGGCAGAAATGTTCAGTTACTGCTAGACTAAAAGCATTTTCCAAAATCTCAAAACTGTCTGCACATACAAAAATAGATTTTCTTTCTTTTATTTTTGCATCTGGAGTCCTCAAATTGTGGAAGCTCCCTTCTCTTTTCTACACTTTCAAATTTCCCAGCAACTCTTGCCAAGCCCTCATCATATCTTTCTGTCTGTATTCATTTCCCTCTCTCACTACACCAAGTACGTTCTATGGCCTTGGGCTAAATCCACAAGCAGTGTCCTGATCCTAACTATAATGCTGGAAATAGCAATGTAGCAGGGTATGTATAATGTTGCCTCAAATGTATACATTCTTTTGCAGTGTACAAAGCACCTTAACATTCTCAATGTCTCATTTGATTCTTTGCAGCAAATCTGTGAGGTCGAGGCTCTTATCCTTCCTCTACTTTAAAGATTAGGACTCCAGGCTTCTGGGTGGTCTGGTGACTTGTCTAAGGAAAGAGAGCTAGGAGGTGATGAAATCAGAACTCGCAGCCAGGTCTTCCCACTCCTGTCCCATGTGTACCTCAGAATATGCAATGGTGAATTTTTTAGTGTGAAGGGGCAACTGCTTCTATTTGATTCTCAAAATGCTCTGTGCCATAGCAGTTCTAAGACCTGCTAAGGAACACAGCTACTTCCACAGGTGGACCCGCTCTAGATGAGACATCCTGTACTGCGCATCCTTTTCACGTTGTTTGTGCAAATGTTACACCATTGTGGCAGGGCCGCTTAGGCTCAGGTGAACCTTTTGCTGAGTGCTCCTGTGGGAGAAACTGCTCAATCAGAAACACATTTGCTCTAGTGTCCAGAACAGGTCGTGCAGCTTATTGCATTTTCTGACAATGCAGGGTCTTTGTGGCATCACTCTGACACATCATGGAAATGAGGGAAGACAGCTAGGGCAAAGTCAGGGGCTATTTCTTTCTTTTCTTTTCTTTTCTTTTTTTTTTTTTTGAGTTGGAATCTCACTCCATTGCCCAGGCTGGAGTGCAGTGGCATGCTCACGGTCACCCTAGCTGGGGTGCAGCAATCCTTCTGGGCTCCAGCAATCCTTCTGCCTCAGTCTTCCAAGTAGTGGGAACTGTAGGGATGTGCTACCATGCCTGACTAATTTTTTGACCAATTGTAGAGATGAGGTCTCACCATACTGCCCAGTCTCGAACTCACAGGCTCAGGCAATCCTCTCGCCTCGGCCTCCCAAAGTGTTGGGGTTACAGGCTTGAGAGACCACAACCTGCCTATTTCTTGAGGGGGCGTGGGCCACTTATATTAGAATCACATGAGCAGTTTGTTACAGATTATTGGTCTCACACCTGTCCTACTGATTTGGAATCTTTGGGAACCCCAAATATGAATTTATAACAACTTCCCAGTTGGGTCATCCACACACTAAAGTTTGAAAATCACTGATGTAGAACCATGTATCTAGGACCACCTATGTAATTTGTGGGGGCCCAGTGCAAAATAAAATCACAGAGTCCTTTTGTCAAGAATTAATAAGAATTTCATCATGGTGAAAGCAGGGCATTAAACCAAGGGTAGGTCCCTATGCACATAAACAAAGTCGTTAAGCCAGCTCTGTATGCTTCCCATGTTTTACTTGCTCATGGATCATCTAGGGACCTTGTTGAAATGTAGATGCTGGTGCAGAGGAAGGTTTCAGGCGGGGCCTGAGATTGGGCATTGTTGATGACCCCTGAACCATCCTTGAGGCGCATATCCCTGAAAGGGAATCATCTGCCCATCAGGGTTTGAAAAGCACTGAGCCAGCCCCTCCCTGTGCAAAGGGGTGGCCAGCAAAGCAACAGCAGCAGTACCACTTGGCTGGGAGCTTGTTAAAAATGCAGCATCTCAGGCCCTATCTCATATGCACACAAATGTGAATCTGCATTTTTTTTTTTTTTTTGAGTTGGAGTCTCACTCAGTTGCCCAGACTGGAGTGCAGTGGCGCACCGCAGCCTCGCCTGCTGGGCTCCGGCGATCCTTCCGCCTCAGCCTTCCAAATAGCCGGAATTACAGGCATGCGCTACCACGCCTGGTTGATTTTTTGATTTATTGTAGAGATGAAGTCTCGCTGCCCAGGTGGGTCTCAAACCCGCGGGCTCAAGCAATCCACTCACCTCAGCCTCCCAAAGGTGCAGGATTACAGGCTGAGCCACTGAGCCTGGCTTGAATCTGCATTTTAATAAGGCCCTCAGGTCACTCGAATGCAGATAAAGTGTGGACTAGTCTAGAGTGTATTCCAAGCCTTCCTTTTGGCTTTGATGACAATATCCAGAATGGCTTGAAAACGAACAGGAGGGAGCAAAGCGTCGTCAACTGAGGTGTACCATGCCCTCCCTTAGGCTCCTTGCAGACCTGATGACCTTCATCCTGAACTGCCTCACCTGAAACAAGGATTTGGAAACCCCCTGGTTTAGAATCCCTCAAGAATGACAACATACTCTGCAATCTGCTTTTCTAATAATGTATCTGGGATACTGTTTGTATTAATAACCTGAAGCGTAGCCACTGCTCTGATGTTCGTGTGGGTCCAAGGAGAGAACTGGAAAAATTCACACTTTTAGCCAACATTTAATGAACACAAGATGCACTATTTTATCATCTCAAAAATTTGGTTATGTTTGCTTATTGTCAATCTACAGAAGAAATTAACTGAGGCTAAAAAAAAGTTATCATTGCCTGAGATCACACCGATATTAAGCTGCAGAACCAGGATTCAAACCAGTTTTTGTTTTGTTTTTTAAAATTCACTGTGCTTGAATGATATCATAGGCCCTTTCAAAAGAACATTTAAATCAGTTGTTCTCAAATTCAATGTGCATTAGAACAACTTGAAAGACCTACTAACACAGAGACTGCTGGAATCCGCCCACCCCCCCGAATTTCTGACTCAGTATGTCTGGGACAGGGTCTGAGAATGGAATTGCTAATATCATCCCAAGTGCTGCTGCTGCCCTGGTTTGGAGACTACACTTGAGAACCACTAATTTAGACATGTGGTTTCTGATGAAATGAGAGCAGCAGAGTGAACAGGCGCTAGGAAATGATTCTTGTCTGAAAGTTTTCCACTACTTTACAGAAGAGAGCTTTCCTGTAGCCAATACAGAGCAGAGTCCTTTATTGAAATCTGACTGAATACCAGGGGAATGTCCGTGGTACAGGAAACACTGACCAACAAACACTAAACTGCTTGAATAATTGTTTTTGATGTCCACAATTGGGGCATCTCACAACCTCCCCCCCTCCCAAAAAAAGAATATAAGAGAACTGTCATTGGCTGCCTTTTGAGCCTCTAATTATTGGAAACTGACAGGAACAGAAGCCGTCAAGCCACACCGCACTGCACTGCATTATGAGGCCAAAGAGGTTCGTTTTTCAGATATACCAGTGCTCTGCATGCAGCAGCCAATTTCCAGCATGGCTATGCAGCCCCTGTGATATACTACTCTGAGAAGTTGGCACAACTCCAGCTGCGGTTCTGAGCATATCCAAGGTCATGTTTAGATGTCCAAACTGTCACTGCTGGGTATCAGTCTTGCTGAGTCTCCATGGAATTAACACTGGCTTCTGCAGAGATGGATCACAAAGGTAACTCAGCAGCCAACTCTGTCACCTCCTCATACCTGCCCCCATCTATCTGTCTCATTTATCCAGTCTCCACAACAATGCAGAGGACACATTTCTCCTAGGTTACAGAAAAAAAAGTGAAAATGAGCATAATTGCTCTTTCAGCCAGAGCAAGGGCTCTGGAAGTGCAAAATTCAGACAACAGGCTGCCTCTTTCCAAGACAGCCCTTAACATAGTCCTCCTACAAAATCACTCCTAAAACATACCACAGTATTTCTCCCCCCTCAGGAAGGTGATTAACTATATGATTAAGTAGAAGCGAGTAAGGTTTCAGACTCAACTACAACTGACTAATCCAGGTGAGCTTAGCTGGTGATGGCCACTCATCAGATGCCAGGAAACAGTTACAGACCAGCACAATGAAGTCCAGGAAGAGAAATGGAAGCTAGAGAGGGTGGGAAGTGCCCAGACCAGACCCTGAAAGTCTCTCACCTTCCCCGCATGATCTGGCGATATGCCACTCTTCCTCCCCCAGTATCCTCTCTGCCTGTTCTGTCACATATACAAAGAGTAGAAGAAAAACCTTTATAGCCCTAAGCTTCTAGACCCGGCCTGCAACTCTAGTCCTCTTCTGTCACCCTGCTTCAATGCCTGCCCTCCAGTTAACCTCCACATTCCAGCCTCCAGCAGTGACCACCAGCCTCCTGTGTTTCCATGAATGGCTTTCCCACCACTACCAGTCCTGCAGTCCTCCCCTCCTGCGTGTGGCC